TTTGTGTCACTGCAGGAAGGCTGAAGAAGTACCCATTTGCAATTACACAATTCCACAAACAAACCAAGCTTCTTATTTTCAATTTGCAAACGCCTATACACTTAAAAGCTGCACCTGTAGCACTTAACATTTTAAGCCTCTCTTCCTGCTTTAAATACTGCACTTATTTTTAGTGAGGTGATGATGAATCTTACCTAGGCATTCTCATCAAATAACAGCCTGCACACCTGCTGTGATCCAGGAGATTGCAACAATCAGAAATTGCTAATCATGCCCTAAGTCATGCTTTGAAAGTGCTTGTTAGTGATTGCTGTGGGCAGGGTGTTCCTGTGTGTCATTTGAGTACAAGGAAGCACCAGGATTCTCTGCTCAGTAGAAGATTGCCACTTCTATCTTGCTGCAATAGCAAGATTTATTCTGCCTCAAGATTTAGGTCACTGAAACTGGACTGAAAGAAGACTTCAATAACTTTCAGCCCATTTTTCTGCCTACTTTCCTTCCTCATTATTTAGTAGAATTTTACCTAACAACCAACTTTTCATAAGAAATTTATTTTCTTATGCTTCCTCCGTACAGTAAAATTAAACTACAGTATTGGATGTACTGAAGATTTAGACTGATCCTTCTTACACATCAGTTTTGCATTAGTTTTAAGTAGGCTTATCTTAGTAAGCTCATTTTAATTTACTTTAGATTAGTTTTAGACTAGCTTAAATAAAGACATGTTTGGCTGCAGAGTTTTCAAAGGCTGTGTTTTGATTTGCCAGATGGTTTTGAAGGAGCAAAGATCAGCTGTAGTCCTCCATCTACACACAGAAAGAGCAGATGCCACATGAACAAACATGCTTCCAGGCATTAAACATTCAAATAAGAAAGTTTACCCTCCACTCCAGACCCCCTTGTTAGTGTGCCCAACAGATTCAAATTTGTCAGATTAGTCCTATCTCTAAACAACCCAGTTCTAATCTTCAGGAGCTAAAACGGTGGTAGGATTCTTCTAAGGAACTACTGCCTGGTCTTGGACAGCAAAACCTAACTGGCCTGTGAGAGTACTTATGTCTGGACTCTAAATACCTTTAAGTGCTCTTAAAAAAAGAACTGGAGTGAAATATTCAATAACTAAATTCAGTGGCAAATTTCTCAGCCAACTGAGGGGTCTGGATTTTCCATTTTTTGCATGGTGGGAGTGAGCAACATGCTTGTATGTGTACCTGTGTCATTATTTTGAGTAGTTGCATTTTTTTTTCTATAGTTTAAAACCACTGTTTGACAGGAATGGTAGTGATTGGAGAAGTTCTATGGACTCTCAATACTTTGAGACATTAATGGAATAGTTTTCTAGGATGAGAGACTGTCGTAAGCACTTGCGGAAAGAAAAAAAAAGACTTTTGTCTCCATGAAGAATTTATGGAATTCTGTAAGGTAATAGAAACTTATTCCTTGGTATCCTACTTCAGTTTGGAGAAAAGTCTCATGCTTTGTCACAACACTTTTCATCTGAATAGAAACAAACTGGGAAATAAACTCTTAAGGAAAAAATGTGTTATCTGAGTACCTGAATATGTACAATTCCAGTTTGTTATTTCATTTATTTATTGTTTCATCACTAAACTTTTAATCTATAAAGTTTAATATGTAATATACAAGAGTAAAATGTACAGAAGTACCTGTAGATGTAATAATTTAAACCACCTGTATTCAGAAAACAGAAATAACAAGTTTAAAGATATACAGACAATTGCAATTCAACTTTAGCTGAATTTCTCAGTATCTAGGAAAAGAAGTGGCTTTGCTTAAGTAAATTTTAATGATTGTGAAAATATCTTTTTTTAGTTTGTTCTTGTTACTTTTTTTAATTAATTTTATTTTGTAAATATTGTTTTCTATGTTGTATACCTTAGAAAGGCCACTAATTCGCATTGACAGCAGCAGATAGCCAACAGATAATTAAAAAGGTACTTACAGGGCACTGGTGTGCATGTGGTCAGTAGTCAGATTCATTCTGCTGCATGACTGCTCTTGTTGTTTCTGCAGCCACACTGGTGTCACGGAAAGAGTTTTCTGGGACAACTTAACCTGCTAGTTTTCACTGAATTGACTATCAAGCGTCATTCGGAAGTGCTTACCATTTTCAAAACATATAAAGAATATGTATTTAGTGGTAGTTCTTACTAGAATAAGAAACTACACAAAATTCAGGAAAAAAAGGGAATTCAGAAATTATGCCCCGATATAGCACAAAGATAAGGAAAGGCATGGTATCTCTGTGCTCTAGGTAGCAGTGGAAGTAATAAATCAACATATTGGGTCAGATCATAGAGCCTTTTCTAGGCAAAACTGCCACTGAGGTCTGTGGGAGTTTTACCTGCATTAGGTTCACTGTGATCTTACCCATTGCCTATTAAATAGGAATTTCTGGTAGGCTAGATCTTGGAAAAAAATACCCAGATGCATAATATTGGTTACTGTACCAATTGGCTAAATCTGAATAGTGGGCATGAGTGACATTTTGAATGAAACCCTTGTAGATGCTGCTGGGACTTCTAAGCTTTATTATCAATGTAAATTATGTACAAACAGCTATTTCCATATGAAATGTATCATGGTAGTTTAGAACAAAGATAGTGAATAACTGTACAAAATTTGATACTTAGAAAATAAAATACCGTGATCTAAGCTTTACCAATATTTTAAAAATACTGTCAGATTCGTAGTAGAAAATGTTGTTGTAAATGTACCTTATAAGAAAATACACTTCCTTTTACCTCTGTATATTAATAGCTTTGTTTTCTATGTCAAAGCTCAAAACAAAGCATGTAATAAAACTTTTGTTAAAATCACTTTCATAATAAACATAAAATGGAATGGATATCTTTGCTGCCATTTGTTCACGTATACTCACGTGTATTCATGTAAGGTTCAACACGCCAATGTAAAGTAGATAAGAATCAGAAGACAAATCATCTTCTTGATAACATCTATATTTTGAAATCTAGTTTGCATCTTCAGGCAACAGAGAGCATTTTCTTTCTTGTCAAACCACGAGCTCTGTGCTGGGATACTGAGTCATGGACAGACCGAAGTGACGTGTCAGCTTTCCCCCAGGACTTTTAACAATTTCTTAAAATAATTATGTAACTCTGTTTATCTCACTCAGGAGGAAGGAAGCTCTCTTCAGATGGTGGCCTAACAGGCTCTTACCATCACAAGCTGCTGATGAGAGCAGTGACTTCCAAATATAAGCTGTCTTTCTGAGGTCTGTGTAGAGAGGAAACCATGCTTTGCACCCAAAACATTGATTTAAGGAGAGATCAAGAGTGTCTTTTCTCCACTCTAGCCCTGCTGTAGAAATACTGCATTTGCCCAGGTCCTCCTTCTGCTGACTTTTAGATATCATAATTACAGTTAAGCAATCCATTATTTGTTTGATCCAAAACTGGGTGCTAATGGACCGAATAGAACATAGAGCATCCACAGTGACATCACTAACTCTATTAAATATGATTTAGATCATCTTTGCAGTCCAACAAATGCAAGTTGTCACTGAAGCATGCTGGACCAGACAAAAATCACAAATGTTAATAAGTCAGTTGACGAAAGGCGAGGTTTGTCACTCAGCAGCACCTGTTAACAGATCAATGCCATCTGCAGAACATTGTTAGTGGTGCAGCAGCCACCTATGTGGGGCAGTCAGGAGACCTGACACATCACCACGGTGCGTGGTATTCTACTGATACTCTCATTTAAGTAGCTTATCTTGTTAACAGAAAGCATTTATCATATGATAATACATACATTGTATGTGACATAAATAGTATGACTGATGACTATTGGTATCGGTGTGACAGCTTTAAAAAGCATAAAGAGACAGTTACATTCTGACTGGCTGCAAAAATCATTTACTGCTTTTTTCAGCTAATAGCAGTCAATTTAGGTAATAATAGCAATCATTCTAATTACATTCCAAGAAGACAGAGCATCACTTCTATCAGACTAAAGACAATGCCTCATGACAGAACACGTGAGATGGTGCTCAGATGTCTTTATCTGCTCCAGATCTTTGATGGACTAATATGAAAAGTCAGCTCCTATCAAAGACAGAAGACTTGAACCCAGAAGTTCCTCAAGGTCATCACAAGTCAAATTAATTATTGGTAACGAAGTACCTGTGTACAAAGGTAAAAGCCAGTTCCGCAGTCATGACAATGTGCATTTGAGTACAAGATTCTGAAATAAGCATTGCCTGGTAAGGCAATTGCTATGACTTCCCAACAAGCTCACAAAGCATGATTTTGACACCTGGCCTGATGAATGGCACTCTGGAGCGACCCAGCGGATAAATGAAGGCATACTTAGCATAGCCTTACTTTCATCTTTGTTCAGCCACCAATCATGGCTGACTCAAAAGGGGTCTGTCCTGTACAATCCTGGAGGACTTTCCAGAGATACTTCCCTGTCAGAGCAAATTTTCTTTCTTCCTCTGTTTCATGGAGCCATATCTGAGCTCCTGCAGCTCATGAAGCCAACATGGGTTGCGTCTGCTTTCTCCTGCTGCCATTGCTGCCTAACACCCCAACAAATTTCTTTCTATCATATTGCTAGGTGAGCTCAGAGGGGTGCTCTCCCCTAAGTAGCTACAGACTAGTTTTACTACAAATGTTGCTGTGTTAAAAAAAAGAAAATACTAATAACAGAATTAAATACACACCACACTCGACAAAATATGCAGATGGACATTTATTTAGTAGCCAATCTGGCTGCTGCAGGGCAGAATTTAAATGAGGCTGTAGTGGGCAAGTCATGGGGACTGCTGTAACAAAGTGGCACCCTAGCTGCTTGGGTTGGACCCCTGCAAATAATACTGGAAGGTTGGATCCTATTACTTCGGACAGGAGTAAAATTAGTAAGGTCAATTTTTGGTTGTTTTTTTTAATCTCCCTGATTCTTTGTAAACACTTATGCAAAACACCCTGTCAAATTCAACAAGCACTTTGTCTCGGTAAGGGCTGCATTGTTTAGGTGCCACAAATCAGTCCCTATTCCTAAGAAAACAATCAGAATAATATTCTGAGGTAACTTTTGCTTTACAGATATTATCAACAGGTACCTGCTTTTGTAATGAGAGGTGACAGCAGGGCTACTGCCTTGGCATCACAAGCGATCAGTGATGTGGGATAGGAATACTTGCTCCTGAAAGCCTTGTTGTGTAGCCCTGCAGCTGAGGAGGTGATGTGAAATGGGCAAGTGCTGGATTCTGATCCCTGCTGCAGGAGATAGATACACTCCTGGTGGAAAAACAGCAGAACAGGCTGAGCTGCAGGCAAATAAAACCTCATTAGATAAAGCAAGGGGATAAATACAATTTATTGTTGCTTCCACATCTCAGAATCTCACTGCTCTTAATCCCAGTGATTCTGACTGCATTTTATTATTACTTGGAGTTCACCAGCAACAGTTTTGACCTGCCTGACCTGCACAGTCACCCAAACAGCCTGGGAACACAGACAGCTGGCCAGTGGCCAGAAGTCCTGCCCAAAGTGAGGTGGAGGTGCAAACAGGCAGTGAGAAAACACCTGCCTGCACTTGGCAAAAACAAGGTTATGTAAATCTGTTGGAGCAGGATCACATTCCCCCCGGACAAGGCATGCTCAGTGCAGCTCTACTGAACAAGGAAATGAAAAGATATCCTACTTCTCTTACTGGGTCTGCTTAAGGAAAAAACAAGTCTTGTTACTTGGTATACACGATACAGGCTGCGCATGAGGGTGTGTGTATCCATAGTACACATCCTGTAGTGAGCCTATGGCACAGCAATAGCTGAGAGAAGGGTGGCTCTGGGAGCTTTTGTAGCAATGAAGATCCCTGTGAGAGCTGTGAGCAGTCCAGTCCCCGCTTTTTGTAACGCCGGGGTGAGATCTCCACCACAAACATCCTTTCTCCAAACTACAATGTTAGCAGAAATATCTACAGTCATAGAGACTCGTAGCGGGAACCCAGTTAAGGCAGCTGTTTTTTGACATTCTGTTGCTCAGTCAGGCAGGTGTCCTTAGTGCTGTGACCATGTGGGAGCACAGCACATGGTGGGGTGGACAGGGGAAGATCGGCCTGTGTCTTTTATTCAGATACTCAGCCTGGGGATCGTGCTAGAACGGCAGCGTATGGTTACAGCATGGATGCTCATCTCTTTATACCCTCAGTGTCCGACCAGGGTACCACAGCTCTTTGACAGAGATCTGCCTCACGATAACCGATTACGTGGAGAAAGGACTGCTGTGCTAGCTACTCTGTATCACACATCACTCCAGCAACATAAGACGAGCAGCGAACAATTTCTTCAACGTGACACTGATGTTCGCTCTCCACTTAAGGAGCTCAGTGAATTAGACGCTTTCTTAACCAGCAAGTTTTACTGAAAAGCGAACGCGTTCAGCAGCACCACGCAGCAGAGCAGAAGCCCACAGCCGCGCCTCACAGCGCGCTGAGGCTCCGCCCGCCACGCGCGCGCAGCTCCCGCTCCCCGTCCCTCCCCGGGGCAGGCCCCACCCGGCATGCTCCGCTTCGCGGCGGGGCGGGCAGGGGTACGGCAGCGGTTCGTGCCAGGTTCGGCCATGTCGGGGGACGGCGATGAAGAGCTGGCGGGTTTCGTGGCTCTGCACGGGGCTGCGCTCCGCGCTTCCTGCGTCCCGGCGCGCTACTGGGAGAGCCTGTGCCGTAAGCTGCGCGGAGAGGTGAGTGCGGGATGGGGTTGGGGAGAGCGTTGTGGCCGGGGTTAAGCAGAGACGGGGCGACGAATCCCTTTTGCCTCGTGTTTTCAGCGGCTGGCCGCCGTTCGATGAGAAAGGAAAGAGAAAACAGGTCGTGAGCGGGAGCGCTTTTGTCGGTAGGCACGTTTAGAATTGTTGAGGATGTGGCGCGGTGAGGAAAGGTACCGTGGATTTGCTGGAGTAGAGGAACCGGGAGCTGAGGCGGGAAAGGCGGGACCCGAAACCAGTCGTGTGGAAAAGTGAGAGCGCTCTGGGGAGTCTGGAGGAGTCAGCCTGGGGGGGGGCAGTAAGGGCGAGGTGAGCTCGCTGTCCTGGGGAGGAGTGAGCTCGATGAAGCCTGAGGGTGTGGGGAGAGGAGGGAGCGAGCAGGGGTTGTGTGTTAGGAGATAGGGTGAGAAGCTGCGGGGTGCTGGGTGAGGAAAAGGGGCTGTGGTTAAACAGTTGTACGAATAAACTCATCTCTGATTGCTTGAGTGCCTTTTTTTTTTTTTTTTTCCTCATCCCAACTTCACAGTTGGAATGGGTGGAAGTTTCAGAAGACGTGATACCATCAGAGTGTGCTTGCAGCGCGCTCAGGAGAGTTTCAATGCGTTTTTGGTTGTTTCTAATGGCTGCATGTCTGGTACTGCAAGTGAGAGGAATAGCTGTGTATTGCAGAGAGAATACATCTACGTTAACTCAAGCAAATGCTCTGTCACAGAATCATACGGGTTGGAAGGAACTTCTGGAGTACATCGAGTCCAACCCCTGCTAACAGAGGTTTCCTGCAGCAGGTCACACAAAAAAAACGTCCATGTGGGTTCTGAATATCTCTAGAGAAGGAGATTCCACAGCCACCCTGGGCAGCCTGTTCCAGTGCTCCATTGCCCTCACTGTAAAGAAGCTTTTCCTCACGTTCAGATGGAACTATTTAGATCTCAGTTTCTGCCCATTGCCTCTTGTCCTGTTGGCTGGGCACCTTTGAAAAGAGCCTGGCCCCATCCACTTGTCTCCTACCCATTCGACATTTATAAGTACTGATAAGTCGTGAACTTCTCGGTTGGAGATGGGGGGGGAAGAGAATCGAATGAGGAAAACCATAGCCATGATACTTCCACAGGGGCTGGCATGGAGAAGCACATATCCTAGTGTGGCACAGTGCACACTGTTTCATTATGCTTGCTGCAGTGGCTGAGTGTACTTGTTTGTCCAGGGTGTGTGGAGAGAGAAATATAATGATTTCAGTGTGCTTAAGAGGATAAAACACGCTGCTAATGGTGCATGTCTCTGCCATTGCATCTTCTGGATTTTATCCACAAGGGCAAAAAGATTTGGAGAAGACTGGGACGTGTAGGGAAAATTACAATGAGGAGTGCAGTGGCCTGGAATGAACTCTTTAAAGTAAGCAGGCCTACAGTACCTTGCTCAAAGCTTCAGCATGAAGGCAGCAGAGGAGGTAAAGGGAAAGGATGGAAATGCTCAGGGGCTTTTAAGTGAAGAGTAACTGGGGAAAATAAATCTGTGAAACACGGACCACAGCATGAGTTCTCTTGTTTCCTGAAGGTGGGAGGAATTTTTCATCTGTCTTAACCTGTTACAAAGATAAAAATTTTCTAGCATAGAACTTGGAAAACTTGTATGCATTACACAGATAAAATCTCCTCTTACATCAGTACATCCAGAACCCAGCCCAGGCAGCTGTTTTTCAACATGAATTTGCTTCAACATAAAGCACCTTATCTGCTGTATGCAAGAGAAGTGGAGGGGTTTCACTTACCTTGAGAGCTGCTAGAGCCATTTTGCTCCTGAGAGCCTTGTGTAACCACAAATTACACTGGATTGCTCATCCCAAATGTGATGTATCTGCTAGGGCAATGTTGGAAACATCCAAATAATTTTTGCCAGGACGGTATCTTTGATAAAGCAGATTTTATTCGCGATTGCAATGGCGGGCGTCCCGCAAGCAGGAGCGCGCCTATGGACACAAGATGACAGTCTTTGTACCCTGTTTTTCCCTTTATCCATCCCCCTGCCCTGTTTCCCCATTGGCTGGGTACTCCAGGTTCACAATC